AATTACATTTATATAACAAATAATTAAACGCACTTATACTTAAGAAGAAATCGGAACATTTTGAAGGAAATAGAAGCCATTTGAGACAAAATAAATGATCGATGACCCGATGAGTGTTGACATGTGTACAAGCCGGTGTTTCAATCATCTCAAATTACTTGTAAAACGGAAATCACACATGCACTCAGTATCCTTGTTGTTCACACAAACTGCGCCGAACATATTTTAATGCTGTTGACGGGAAAAATTGCGATTTTATTGATATTTTCAGCAAAAAGTTAGCTCTCCACTCCTCTTGAAAATACTATGGCGCGCGCGAATTCCCGGAGAATGGGTACGAAATAGTTAATTGGAAAATACTGTACTTTTACCGTATTTTCTAATTAACTCAACTCGTGTGGCCAGAGCCACTCAACGATGGCTCTGGGTACGAGATTGATCACATTCACGAAATTTTGAAATTTAAAAACTTTTTGATACGGTACACTTGAAGTGGAAAACCGGCTTAATCGAGATGCCATGTAAAGCACCCTTTCAGAAAAGAGTGATACACATGCAGACAGCCAAATATGTACAGTAATGATGGCAACCATAGTTGTGATCCAAGTCCTTTTTTCTGATGCACAATAGTGCAGTGTATGAGGAATGATGAGAAATAGAGACTACTTGTTTCATTTAAAATGTATAAAATCTGTTGGTTTTATAATATCATGTTTAGTTCTATTCACTTTATTCATTTGCCATGTACAGCATAATGTTTAAAATTAATGGAAATCCAAGAAATATGCCCCAAAAATGTTTGAGTGAGGAGTTAATGCATCAGTAAATCCAGCTGTGACCATCCCCCCCCCCCGGACAACCCCCGGGCATTGGTAAATTTTCATTTTTTTCGTGCAAATGCCCGGGGGTAGGGCAAAAAAAAAGGAACAATACCCCACCCTTGGGACGAAAAACAAAACAAATGCCTCACCCCCGGGCCGACAATTGGCGACAAATTAGTCAATTAATTTGTATTTATACCGAGCTGTTAATTGTTCTTTTGGGAATTTACAAAAAACAAACGAGGAAAACTATCGTGTTCATTTCAGATGAAAACATCGACGAAAGGCTGTGACACACTCGCTTTTATTGCAGAAAGTTTTTCATTGTAAATACAATATATATATAATATGGACTGAAGGAAGTTCTTAAACATTGATTCACACTTGAAAACCAACATTCAACAATAATATAATATAAAATTTGTTTAACATATTTAATAGTCGTCCATTTTGGCATACAACAAAGGAAACTCGTGGCTGTGGTCTGCGACAAATGCCCGGGGGTAATAATCCAATATTGACAAATGCCCGGCCCCCGGGTGAACATGCAGCTGCAAATGCCCGGCTGTGGGGACAAGTAAGCGTACAAATGCCCCACACTGTCCCGGGGGGGGGATGGTCGCAGCTGGAATTGACTGATGCATAATGTACATTAATTATATGGTAAGCATCGCATCCAGGTGAAATGGCGGGCTGTGATTGACTGAGAAGCACTTTCAGCAGTCCATTATTTTCCGGCGTCCATTACGTAAAAACAAACTCATGCATTTTAAAACAAAATAGCAAAACTAATTGAAAATTTGAAAATTATAATTTGATTTGTTATTAATAAGATATCTGTGAATGGTTTACTTTTTAGTGGAAAATAAGGAATACATTGGTATTTTTTTGTTTTCTTCGACCAAATGTGTACCGTACCACACTACTAATATGCATTTCAAATCATGCATTTCTTGTTTGTTTCAAGTATAAATGCCATATAGTCAACTTTTTATTAACCTCACTTGCTTGGTATGTACAGATAAATATCATACCTTGGTCTTTTTATACAAACCTTGCCCTATGGGCTTGGTCTATACAAAAAAAGACCTCGCTCCCATATTTCTCTATACAGACCTCGCGTTTGGTTAATAAGAAGTTAGTAATAATGACATTTGTTTAAGTCAACATTGTCGTAAAAATAATATTTTCAGTTATTTTTACATATTTTGCTTTGCACAAATTATGCATTTTGAATTTAATTCCATTTGCCTCAATATGATTAAAATATTGTTGGATAAAATTTAATGAACCGTGGTTTCCCGTACACTGCAATGGAAGAAAACGTAATTAGTACAAAAACGTGTTCCATATCATGTGATCATAATCAGCCAATTAAATGACTAGGTGTTATATAAAAGTCACTATTTCACATGCTACATTTGTGCAATATAGGATTGATTGATATTTATTCCTATGCTTTTAAATTTAATCTACCTTAGACTGAAGACGATTATGATCATTTTGCTGATGAGGAAGAATTTGAGGTATATATTCATTATATTGCATGACATGTGCTAAAAATGTTCAATTATTATTACCTTACCTCTGAGAAAACAAGATTAGTTAATATTATTAATACTTCTGTTTGTGGAAACACCACGTAAATTTATTATAATTGCAAAGCTTTCGATCCGTAAGCCCAGATTTTCATCAGTGCTAATAATATGTGACTTGTTCAATTCACATGCCCTTTTATATACCAAAGTGTTGTGATCTGTTGGCTTGCATCATTTGAAATTTAATTAAATGGTACATCAACCACGTCATTACAAATGTAGTGAAGTGATTCTAAGTAACGCGAGCACATCCAAGACAAGAGAAATTCATTTTGATTAGTTAAAATTAAATTAAGATTAGTTTAAATTTTGGATAATGTCCCATATTGCTGTAGGGTCATCCAATCACAGTTGCCCACTACTGTACAGGTACTATAGTTTGTAATGTACCAACTTAAAATACGATATGCATTTTTCCCAATTCTCAATTTTACTAGGGTTACTCAAAAGACAAATCTGGAAATAAAGGCAAACAATCAGAGCCAGATTTGAAAATAGCAAAGGTATGGTAGTATATTATGATGTTTAGTTACACATCCACTTTGATATTTTGCCCTACTGGATATATATTTAATATTCTAACCCGAGTTAAGTAAATTTATCCATTGATGGGAAATGAAATTCTTTTACTCCACAAATTATGGCATTATGCTGAATAAAATTTTAATTATACCAGCGCCTCGAAGCGGCGCCCCCGTATAATTATGATTATACAAGCACTCGAAGGGAGAAATGTATGTATGGAATACTTTGGCTTCTAAATACTGTAAAATTCCCTTGAGTGTTGGCCGTCATTGAAAATAATTACAATCATGTGTTACCTTATAAATATAGCTGTTATATACATTGCTCATTTTACAACAGGTAAATGCTGTTACTTTCTTGAGTTTTTTTCTGTTTACTGAAGGGATAAATAGCAATTACATTCACATTCTATATGGGCATGCTTTGATTTCTTAACTCTTTAATTTAGACTGCCCAGGGCAGCATTCAGTTTGCATGAGTGTCCAACATTGGTGCCTATATGAACCAACATCTGCCCTAGCCCTGGTGTACCCAATAATCAGACTGGTCATGTATTAAATCTTTGCATTTTTTTTTCTCACTTCTGTCGTAATGTATAGGTACCATTGCATTTGAGAGCAAACTGGGAAGGTTTTTATCTGGAGATTCTTATGATTGCTGGTTTAGCAGCTTATGCTTTGAATTTCTTTGCTGGCAGAAGTAAAAATTCAAAACTGGCCACAGCATGGTAAGTCATGTAAACTGAAGGATTTGTATACACAGGTTTCTAAATCATCGTAGCTACAGTGTAGATTTCTGGTTAATTCTTTTAATCAAAGTATGTTGAAATTATTGACCCAGCTCCTGTCTACTTTTCATGATTAACTGATTACATAATTATATAAGTGTGCCTCAATTGTACTGTTAATGGTACCTGTATAATTGAACCTGTAAAACACTGTGATTGTGTATCCTCTACCAACTTGACAATTTGTATCTATGCCAATAGGATGAAATATAATAGAACCATTATGCAAGATAATTTTTCAATTGTTGGTAAGTACAATATACAGTAATTGTTTCAAACTAAAATCTACAAGGAAAAACGTACTAGCTAGTATATACATGTTTATATATTAGGCCACCCTGTTAATACAATCAATTTTTTTTGGCCTGTCTTTGGCCATATTAATGGGATTCCACTTTATAACAATTATTATGGAAATAAAACAACTCTTTAGAGGCAATTTGTCAAGCAGAAGCGTCTGTAACTTTTTCATGCAAAACTACTACTGTACTATACTAAGTTAGTATTTGGGTTGTACTGTGAATTAGTTGTACTGTAAATCATATGAAGAAATGGTGTTATCTCTTGTTGTTTTATTACGTGAAGTTATTTCAGGTTGTTTGTACCAACTGACGTACAAATTGAATGACGTCATTTGACTAGTTTTAACAATCGGAATTGGGTCGATTGTACTGGTAGGAACGATCGATGACCGTTAATTTCCGATTAATGCACGATTCCTGACAGTGTTTGATTATTGTAGAAAGGATTTTCGGTATACCGATCGATATACGGAAAATACCGGCGTTGAATCCAATCAGTCGTGTCGGTATAGGTTTTTCAGTCATAACCGATATAATGAATTGACGGAACAAGTTTACCCTACCTAAGTTTTTGCAACAACAAATAGGAAACCATGGGCTTTTCATTTTTCTGCAAAGCTCTGGATAACTGTAAAAAGCTATGGCGAACGACACCAACCTAAGGGGTCTGGGGGCATGATCCCCCAGGAAGAGCGCCAGGAAATTTCGAATTTTGATGCCCTAGAATTACATTATTGGCATTATGGGGAAGGTTTTTCCAACAAAGTCATATGTTCATTGTGTGGTAGATGTCAAAGGATAGCGTGTTCTCGGATTGCATACACAAGTTTATTGATAACATTTTTGTAATTTTAATAAAATACAAAACAATGGTCTTTTCACCCCGTGGTAAACCAACCTTTTCGTGGTTCTCGTCTGACAATTGAGAAACACAACAAAATATAAAGCTCTGGCGAATTTGGGCGTGGCGTGAGTAAATGATCAGGCGAATTTCGCCGTTCGCCGGCCTAAAATGAAAATTTCCAGTATACCGATACAGGAGAAAATCCTTATCTCCCAATATGCCATGCCTGGTTATGATTCTCGTGACCAAACACCAATGGTTTTCTCTGACTTTGTCTTGTACTGAGTCTACTGACGCCGGACTACTGCGTGAAGAATATTGATAACTCTGATGGAGCATCAGATTTAGACTTGCTAACAAGTCGACCTCGGACGAGCGACGAAGTCGAAAGTCGCTAGCGCGAGCGACGAAGAAATTACTTCCTTGAAAATTCCTTAGTTCTAAACAAAGACGAAGGACTTTAAGAAAGTCTAATGGAGCATTCGAACGGAAGATGGCTGTGAAACACATTAGAATATAACTCATTACCTATGTTAACGTTTATTCATAAATCTGGTCCTTCCCCGTACGTGTGTATTGTATTTTTGCTAGGGGTGCACCGGATTTGGAATTTTCAAATCCGGCCGGAACCGGATTTACCGGATTTGGCCAAAAATTCTGGCCGGAATTCCGGCCGGATTTGCCGGATTTGAGATAAACCGGTAATGGCAATAAATTGGGATAATTCAGTATTCAAAATGGCGGTTTATGTTTTTTACTATTTTTAGTTAGTGTCAGTTTAGATTTTTTATTGTGTTTAAACCTTTTTTAAATATCTTCTTGTTAATAACTTGATATTTTATAATAATATTAAGTGTTTTTTAAACTTTAAAGCTGCCAAATTGATGGTTTATCCGATTCTTGGTGAATATTTTAAGGTGAAAACAGATATTTAATCCGGCCGGATTTTCTCCAAATCCGGCCGGATACCGGAAAATTCGTTAAATCCGGCCGGATTTGAAATCCGGTGCACCCCTAATTTTTGCCCAACCAACCAATATCAGTGTTTTAGGAAAGTTACCTATTCGTGACTCGAACAGTAGGGAAATTGTTATTGGTGGGTTTGGCAAAAATACAATACACGCGTGACGGTGAAGGACCAGATTTATGAATAAACGTTGACTAACATAGATAATGAGTTATATTGTTATTATAATGAGTTTCACAGCCATCTTCCCTTCGATAGGCTATGGATGGAGGAATTACGAAATTAATAAATGAAATTAAATTAATTTGAGATTATAGGTTCTTGCAGTAGTATAGAAAAGGGAACAATTGTGTTAAAAAACCCTTTGATTTCCTTAGTGATGGTGTACTGTTCTGTGGGGAAACTAGAAATTAATATATATTGGGTCATTTGGGTGGACATGCCGTATACTGTACAGTCAATTGTGCGGAAAGTATAAGTCATTGTTCTACACTAGGCGATGATGGATCCGGTGATGAACCTCAGCAAGGAATTCTGGTGAAAGAAAGTGAAAGTCATTATTCTCTTTGGTGTTCAGGAAGAGTGAATTGTGAAGGGCTTCTTGTTGAACTAAAAGTAAGTCTGAGCGACCGCACTGCATGAATGCATTGTCAATCCAGTGGACAAGACATTTCACACACATTGGTTCGAAACGGTAAGGCTATACAGGTACATGAGTAGTGTATGTCAGCTCTCGATGTTATATTTGTTTCCTTTGAGAAGGTTAATAGGGACGGCAACGTTACGACGACGGCAACGTCGTAACGTAACGGCAACGTTACGACGAGTCACGACGGCAAACGAAGTCGTTGTAATGGATGATTGTAAGCGAAAAATCAGTACAATGTCATCGTTTCCATTGATAGTTGCATTATTTAAATTTGACAAGAAATATCGCAATAATGTAAGGAAAGCGCGTCGTCTATTATCATGGTATGAAATTAATGCGGTTTAAGTATCGAGGTATTAACTACGTATTGACAGTATCAGTAACCGTCGTCGTTGTATTTTCGCCCTTCTTGCTAGAGGTTCCTAATAACGGCAGTTCAAATATTTTTGAAGTGTAAAAGGCCTTTCTTGTCAGGCCTCTGAATTAAGCCTTGCTTAAATTCGCAAATAACATAGTGACCAAGCCATACAATATAAAGATTAATTTTCGTATAATTGCTACATTTTCGGAAAGTTGGACTGTACTAATATAAAAGACCATGAGGACAGTTGAAAAAAAATTAAAACAGTGTTTAAAGGTAGTCAAGTACTGTATAGCCTGCCAACGTGACGTATGTCACCACGTGCATCTTTGTAAATATTTTGTCCGATTTTTTATGTATAAATTGTTTTGTAGTACCTCAGAACTTGTATTAAAGGTATTCTTTTTATATTTTGTAGTTACTTAAAAGACACGACTTAGTTCATGTTCTCACATACATGTTCAAACCAACTTCAGATAAAATGGTACGTAATGCAGAAGAGTATAGTATATATTCTTCAATCTGAACTATCTTATATGATTATATGTCATTCCTGGTTAAAGAAACCACCTGAATTCTGTATACATTTCATATTTTTCCAAGGTTGCAACAGTTTACATGAGTGATGAAGATATGGATAACTTCGTCTTTGCGATCTATCCGAAACGTACAGCGGGCAGAATGCAGAAAGAACTTCAAGATTTAGTATGTAGTCTAGCTCGTTTTATGTTTATTAATGATGTCAAAATGGGAACATTGTACATCTTTTTTCGATGAATCGGCTCACTTATATGTACTCAACTGTTTTTCTTGCAGAGTTTCTTCTGTCCCGAACGACGGCCTGGAGAGAAAGTTGGTTTACCTAGTACATATAGTGTTATATCAGAAAGTGCAGAAATTCTAAGTTTGCTTTCAGTAACGGTAAGAGATTCCTCTTTGTATACATTAGTACAAACTTGTAGATATTGTTGTAAGATTTCCAGGAGGTCTGTTCTATAGTTCTATTTGTCGAAACTATATGAAGTACTGAACACGTTTAACAGTCCTAATGTGTGCGACCCGAGTGATTTCGTGCTACTGTATATGTCAGTACAAAATTATTCTAGATTGGTTTAACGTAATTTCGTTAGATAATTAAACCAATAGTTGTTGAACCGAATTTTTATAAGCGAGTAGGTTTCCTTCTTTATAAATTCTTAAAGTTATTCTTATGAATGTGCCAATCGTGCAGTAGCGAGTATAAAAAAACATTGTGTTCTGAGTTCTGTCTCAAAACCAAGATTGAAATGTAATCCCTATCTTTTTATATAGGTAACAAAATTAATCACAGATAAAAGTGATCTGTTTGAAAGTCTCCACTTTTCAGATCAATATGCTGGATATAAAAAGAATCCAGAGTAAGTATCTTTGCCTTGTACTACTTCGTGTTTTAAGTCAATTCATATGTTACCATGCATCCCCGACTGTATTAATAATGGTAATTGCACTGAGTGGAGTGCAATTTGGTCTAAAATCAAACGCGTGATTACAAAATCGCACGACCGCGAAGCGGGGAAGTGCGATTTGTAATCACAAGTTTGATTTCAGACCAAAATTGCACGACACGAAGTGCAATTACCACATTATATTCATTTTGAAATCTTAATTTTAAACAATTTTGTAAATGGAAACAGTTCTTTTTTTACGAAAGACACCCCCTGATACTCCTCTAGTTGAACTTTCTTTAAATCTCGAAACGTTTTACCAAAAAAATGAAAAAAAATTTATGGATACTGTGAAGACTAAAAGACAACCAATCTAAGTTTAAACATACTTTAGGTTTTATTAGCGATTTGATAGGGTTTTGGTGCGGTTTGTGCATTCAAACATCAACAAATTATACGATGTACGAATTACTGTACCTTGTTTAGTTGTTTCGCCTGTCGCTTTATTAATAACAGTAAGTTGCTTTTTAATTTTTTCTTATTTTTATTTCTCAAGGATATATACAAAAGGTTAATTTATTTAAATTTGCAACGTTTCGGAGTGTATGTTGTTAATGTTGCTAACGTTAACAACAGTTGTCGCCTGAAGACGGACCCGAAACGTTGCAAATTTAAATAAATTAATTAACCTTTTGTATATATCCTTGAGAAATAAAAGTAAGAAATAAATTATGAACCACAAAGGTGAAAGTTTTAGAAACAAGATTAAGTTGCTTTTTGTTGGTATTTTCGCTATGTTTCACAAAGATTTTGTTCCTACTATGCCCATAATTATTTGTGAATTGTTTAATTAACAGTTTAAGCTATACTTTATTTTGTTTTTATATTCAAAAAATTAGCCAAGATGGCAATACTCTGATTTGTTTATTTTGCTCAATTTGCCAGATCACGTTTTTCTAAAAATTGACTGGCTAAGTGAATTCTACACTTTCCTTTGATTGGCTAGCTATAAGGTCACCACTTCAATATGATTGGTTTAAAAAACGATTACAACTCATGCTGATGCGAGCAAAGCTCAAAATAGTGCGATTACAGCTCTAAAATAGTGCGATTTGGGCTGGAATCGCGCAATTTTTGGCCAATCAGATTGCCCCAATCGCGCATGATTTATAAATGAATATAACAAATATGTAAATTACTCCAGTCAATTACATTAAAGACCTTTCTAGTAATTGCAACGTTACATCCTTTTAGTGAGGCTGAGAATCCGGAGGAAATAAAGCCACCTAAAGCAAGAAAAGTTTTAATTTTTACATTTAATCGTAAGTGTGACAGTTGCTAGTGCATACAGAACGTAGTGCGTAGTACATATTTGCGTGCGGCAGCTGTAGCTGTTCGTATTAGCAGAAATCAAGGAGGGTAATTTGTGTTTCTTCACGTTCGTGATTTTGACCAAACTATAGATGTAGAACGAAACCGTATCTACCTAGTACCCTATCAAAACCCTAAACCCACGATATACCCACCAATTCAAATCGTGTCTCTGAATTAAGTCACTGGATAATAAATTACGTCACTGAGTCACTGACGTAACCGTATACCTCTAGGCAAACGTTACTACAGTATATATAATTTTGTCTAATTTCCACGCATTTTATTGCCATATTCTAGTACCTGGTAAAGGCAAGACGAAATACGCGTACATGGAAATGTGCAAACCTTTAATAAATGTAATATTTCATTTTATGGATAAAGTAAAGAAATTTAAACTTAGTAAAGATGTAAGTATATATTTGATTATGCGTGGTTTATTTATAATAATGTGATAGAGTAATCGTGGTTGTCTTGTTATAAAATCAGGCCTGTGTGGTTAAACTTTTTTCTTTGGCGACAAGATTAAAAAATATAAATCCTCGTTTATCAATTGTGAGATTTACTGTTCTGTGTGGTTTTATTAAATATACCGCACAAATGCATCCTGGTATTATGCTTTTTGCGGGCTTGTGTGTATAACGAAGTTTGTTCTTATTTTTCTGGAGCCGGTTGTATAAAAAGTTAGTTACAGTTAATTAACTACATTTAGTGCGAAAGTTAAAGGGGCGGTATGATCAAACTTTTTATTCTCTTCAACCAAACCTTAAACGAAAATGCTCATAAAACTGTATAATAACTTGTTTTGAAGATTTTTGTTCTCATGCTTAGTTCTTGAGATTATACAATTACTTTATGGTTTCCGTGTTTGGATGGCCTGATCCAAACACGCGGGAATGTTGCGAGAGTTAAGAAAAGCGAGCGAAATCACGAGCCGAAGGCGAGTGATTTTGCCCGCTTTTCTTAACTCGAGCAACATTCCCAAGTGTTTGGATCAGTCCATCCAAACACGGAAACCATAAAGTAATTGTTTTATAAAATAACAACAACACGGTAGTCTTCCGTGTTTGGATGGCCTGATCCAAACACGGCTTTCGACCAATCAGAATACGCGTTATATACATGTTATTTTATAAATTTCTTTAGTTTGTAACCATGTGACGTCATCTACTCAATTACATATATAATGAGATATCAGTAATTGTTGTGTATCTTTGCTATTTTTGATCGATTTGTTAAAAAACACAGTATGCTTAATGATGCAGGTTAAATTAACAAACGCGCCGCATCTTTCGAAATATTTTGATAAAAATAGCAAAGATACACAACAATTACTGATATCTCATGATATATCATATATGTAATTGAGTAGATGACGTCACATAGTTACAAACAAAATGAAATATCTCAAGAACTAAGCATAGGAACCAAAATCTTCAAAACAAGTTATTATACAGTTTTACGGGCACTTTCGTTTAAGAAAATAAAAATTTTGATCATACTGCCCCTTTAACTTAACCAATTAAAACACGTAGCTCAGAGTTAACTACTATTTAACTTCAACAGTGGTTAAAAACAATAAAAAGTAGTTAAGAGTTTTATACAACCGCCCCCAGGTAGTTGTATCATACAAACAAGCCCGCATAATGTATTCTGCAACACCTGCACTTTGCACCCAGCATCCATGAAATTATGTTTTTCATTGTGTATAAGCTCTTACTGAAACCTGGCTTTCGATTATATCGTCATATAAATTGGGAATTGTCTCCAATTGTCAAGATTTCATATGAGTTTCCACTTAGAAACGTTGTCAAATAAAAAGTGATATCCACAATAACGTACAATGATGTATCAACTATAAAATAGATGTTTGTGCGATGTTACTCTGAGTGTATATCCACACCGGGCAGGCTTGAAAAATATGCCTGGCCACGGCGGGATTCGAACCTACGACCTTTGGAATACTAGCCCAATGCTCTTCCAACTGAGCTACGCGGTCAGGACGGTTCGAGTAAGCGATATTTCGGAACTGAGTCTAGTTCCTTCGATATCAGTGTAATCTAATATTTATGAAATCTGCTGTGTTGGTGTAATGTACTCAGGTGAATAAGATGTTTGTGCGATGTTACTCTGGGCTAGTATTCCAAAGGTCGTAGGTTCGAATCCCGCCGTGGCCAGGCATATTTTTCAAACCTGCCCGGTGTGGATATACACTCAGAGTAACATCGCACAAACATCTTATTCACCTGAGTACATTACACCAACACAGCAGATTTTATAAAATAGATAGTACAATTAGCATATTGTGGGTGGTATGCTATTATATTGGTAAAGTAACATACATATACGTTACGGCGTACAGTCTGGACAACGTGCTTTGTTTTCCTTGAATTAGGCTAAGACAAAATCAGATAAGAAAAGACGGGAAATGGAGGAATCGTTTTGGAAACAAGCTCATGCTTCTCGTCAAGAGGTATACAGTATGCATGCAGTACAGTATAAGCCAAATCAGTGTAATTTGACGTGCATGCAACTCGTGTGTTGTGATAAAAATTTCAGCCAGGTAAAAATTGTTGAGTAAAACCCTGACCTGGACCAACCAGGACGAGAGCTGATGAGAGTTGGCAAGAGATTAAGAATATTTAAAATACAAATGTTCGTTTTTATGTTAAGGCGGCTCAACAACGTCGTGAGGATAAACAACGCGCAGAAAAAGAACGAATGATGAATGAAGATGATACTGAGAAACAAAGGCGATGGGAGGTACAGTTTATATTCTGTAACAGACCTGGAAAAAGTCGGATTCTGGGTTTGCCTTTTTAGAATTTTCCTCAAAAGTGCGTGAAAACAATGGAAAATTTGACCGTACATTATGTATGCAAGAAGAAAGTATATAGTCGAGCCTCTATTGAGCAGCCCACTATAGAGATTCAGCGGCCAGGTTTCTTAAAACCTTAAAAATTCACATCGAAAATTCCATCTACAAAAGCGGCCGCGGCCATGCACCTTTAAATAGTCCCGATTGTTTTTTTCTGTTGCATTTTATCTCTATTAAACGGCACGTACAGTACACTCACTTTAACGAATATTGAGATTAGATTGTTTCATTTACCTATATGACATTTCTTTATTGCGTGTTGCCATTACCAAAATATATATATTGAGAACACTGCCTTGTATTCGCGTGTCTCTCGTTTCCCGACATTCGCAAGGAATTTCCAAACCATCATTGCGGCCTTTTTAAATAAAAACTTGCGGCCTTTCATCCTCGCCTTCCTTAAAACACTATTACGAGCTGTTATTGTTAATTTGATATTCTTGTCGTAGCTTAGTATTGTTTTTTATTTGAATAAATTGAAATTTGATAACGAATTTTTGCGTACGTTCTTCTATTAAGCGGCCACATGAGCGCCGAGCCCCATGCAAAGGGTGGCCGTTTAATAGAGATTTGACTGCACACTTGAATGATATAATGATTCCTCAACGTGTGTATGAAAATGTGAAAATGTTCCTTATTCTTATTCTTATTAAAGTAAAGGCAAATTTTTTCTCAGGATCCCGAGATCCCACTTTTTTCCTGGTCTGTGTCAATCTCGTACCCAGAGCCAAAGAATAATCGACCCTGGGTACGAGATTGAGTCTGTGCTGTAAAAAAATATACAACACCAAATTTGCATCTTAGGATGAAATGTCACAGATATACAGAAATTCTCTGCAGTATTCTCACTAGAAACACTCAATAATGTTTGTAATGAAGGTTTCAATCAACTCAGCCAATTAGCGTGAGGTTAATTAAATGTGATTATACAATTACTTTATGGTTTCCGTGTTTGGATGGCCTGATCCAAACACGCGGGAATGTTGCGAGAGTTAAGAAAAGCGAGCGAAAGCACGAGCCGAAGGCGAGTGATTTTGCCCGCTTTTCTTAACTCGAGCAACATTCCCAAGTGTTTGGATCAGGCATCCAAACACGGAAACCATAAAGTAATTGTTTTATAAAATAACAACAACACACGATAATCTTCCGTGTTTGGATGGCCTGATCCAAACACGGGTTTCGACCAATCAGAACACGCGTTATATACATGTTATTTTATAATACATTTTCTGATAACGACAAAACGTGGATGCAAAACAATACCAATAATTACAATAACCACCACGGTGATTACTTTTTAACAATGAGTTTAAGGATTAACACTGAAAATGCAAAATATGCATGGTGTGCTGTGAAGTGTCATAAGTCCTATTGAGTATTGATCTACTGTAACTGTGTAAAGCCCTCTCGATACATGTAATTGTAAATTTGTATTCTTACATGCAGGGCTTGAAATAACGTTCCCAAAGTTCCCGATCATGGTGATCGGCAGTCGTGACTTTCCCTGCTTTTTTCAGGTTGGAAACCGAAACACTGCTTTTCCACCGATCATAAGCAATTCCTTGCGGATCATTGATCGGTGATCGGTTGTATTTCAAGCTCTGTCTTAACATTGATTTCAAATGATTAAAGCCATGTAATAATTATCCCATGCAACTGTTAGGAAGGGCGAAATTTTGAACGGAGGACGAAAATCCTTAAAGAAAAGGTGAAGTTTCTAAAAGGTGGCGAATTTTCTAAAGGGGGGCGAAATTCCTAGGACTTTCGCCCCCCTGGGGGCGAAAATGTAGGGGGGGCGAAAATCCTGGGACACCGGCGCAACGTTAAGTAAAATGCTACAATGCCTCGTAAATTTTATTGCAAAATGCAAATTGAGTGAATTTGCAATCAGATTTTGTCACAGCAAAAAAATGTATGTGACAATTTTTTTTGTGATCGGACCAATGTCCGATCAAAATTACTTTTGCTCGGACATTTGCCAAATTTAGTCGGACATTGTCCGATGTCCGACAGTAATTTGCAGCCCTGAAAGGTACGGCCGGCTATGAAAGATACGACGGACGATGGAAAAAAAACTGTACGAATCGATGTCTGGTTTATGTTATAAGGAAAAGGCAACAATCGAGGTAGCGTATTAATGGATAGATGTACATGTAAAGGAGGGCAAGATGGAGGCTGCAAGCACATCACAGCCTGTTTGTATTCGCTGGAGGATGTACTGCATAATCGCGGGAGTGTAATGTCTAGTCCATGCCAGTGGGTTAAAGTTAAACGAGCGACATCAGAAACCAAACCGTGCGAAATTAAAAGTTTGCAAATACGGAGATCCGACAAAAGACCGAGTCCGAGTAAAGTAAAACGAAAATACGAACATTTTTATGCTGATAATATTGATGTTGACGTCAGGCACGAAAACGATAGAAGTCCCCCCCCCCTCCAAAAAGGCTCTTATTACGTTTACAGATGCTCTTTCGTCCGTCAGCAGTAAACTCTGTGTCTTTCCACTACTTGAAAAAAATTATCAATCGGAATCCTCACAAGAAACCGCACCAGAGTTCAAACCTACCCAGTCAATAAAAATGGAGGTATATTATAATTAATTTTTTATTTAAAGTGAAATAAGTGTGCAAATTTTGTTTAAAAGTGTTTCACGGGCCATGTGTAGTGGTAAATCCTGTCAACAGCTAATAGTGTACACTCCTGTATTATTACCTCCGCCAGGAGGTTATGTAATCATCTGGGTTTGTGTGTGTGTGTGTGTGTGTGTGTGTGTGTGTGTGTGTGTGTGTGTGTGTGTATGTGTGTGTGTATGTGTGTGTGTATGTATGTGTGTGTGTATGTGTGTGTGTTTGTCTGTGAGCACGATAACTCAAGAAATACCAAACATATCCGTACGAAATTTTTTGAATGCATTTCCCATCGGCTAAGGAAGAACTGATTAAAATGTGGTTGAATTTGGTTAAAAATTGAACGAGAAATGAACAAAATTTTGTCTTGCTTTTCCCGGTCAATTAACAAAAAATATTACTGAATGCGTAATTAGGACGTGTATAATTTATGCACTCAATGCTAAGACAATAATGAGATGATAAACCTCATTAAGTTTCGGCCTTCATTATCTATTGTCTTAGTTGCATTTCACGCGACCGAAATTCAATGTCTAAAACAAGGCTTACGGAGTTACGCATTATTACGTTCAGCAAAGTGCCAGTCCATTCAAATTCTAACAACATTAGATTACTTCAATACAGGGTGTATAAAAGAACGCAACCTCGGAATTTCCCAAGAAATCGACATTGTTTTAAAGACAAAAGATTTTAGCTGCCTGGGAATTTAAAATAGCACAACTGTAAAATTACTGCACGCGCGAGTGCATAAAGCAAAATTTATGCATTTATTTAATGACACTTAATAAGTTTTTATTTTACAAGTACTGTACAGTACAACAACAGTAATATGTTCTATTAGCAATTCGATTTCAATTCGCGGGGGCCTGAAATCTTTATGCTTAAGAATTGTAAAGTGGATTTCTTAGGAAATTCCAAGGTTGCCTTTCACTTCCGAGTAACGAGCGGAGGTATGCAGTCTCTGAGTGCCCTCTAGTTATCCATGCATTTATCAAGGCATTATCGCGGTTGTCGCTGCATTTTTTGTTTGATACTTCAATTGGACGTCACTTTGTCAGCTTCTTGACATGTATTTCTTGTTTTTCTATTGTTTTGGTTAAACATTTCAACGTGAATGAAAAATTTATTTTATTAAAGAATTCTTCGGATCGAATCGGATTGGAATATTTTAATTATTACAACTCGGATCGGATTAGACAATTTCGGATCAGATCGGATTTTAAACATTAGCCAATTGTCGGATTATAAACGTCCAATCCGATCCGATGCACACCTCTAATGTTCGCCATATATATGAACATAATTGATATATGTTCTAATATTGAAATCTTATAACCAACCATTAATTATAATTTTGCGTGCCAAATCTTTCTAGGTAAACACGAACGGGGTGATCTCTTTCCTTCTCCAGGTTTCACAATACACACCAGATCCATTTCCACTAGGAAGTAATCGGCGTATCATTGCACCGTTCTGGGCGGATGTCGATACTAGAAACGGTGGCGTTGTATACTACAGAGAAACTCAGGATCTTGCAATTCGAACACGAGTTTCTGAAGAAATTAGAAAGTATTTCGTTCGTCAAAGACGGTTTTCTGCAAAATGGGTCCTGATCGTGTCCTGGTTGAATGTTGCTCGCTACGGTGGAACTTCCTCTCCAAGTGTAAGATTGCAAAATAAATTACGTACAAAAGACAATTGGGTAAAAGGGTTTTCATTTGACTCAGAATCAACTTTAATTGGCATTTTCATACTGAACAAAATATCTACAGAAAACTATCTGTTTAATATTATGCACTCTAAAAATCTGCATGGTTAAAAATGTTCCTGCATGTTAATCTAATAGTAGGGGTAACTTAATTGGGGTAACTTAATGTTCATGGTTGAATTTCCTAGTTAAATAGTTCAGAACCACAGTCCTGCTTATAATAACCGTGACTAATTATTACGGGAACCACTCAATATTTTAAGAAAATACAAAATGACAGTAACTCTTATCTTGTAACTTTTTAATCATGAAGATGACTTCAAACTCGTCGAAACGTCGATTAAAAATCAAAATGTTATTCGGAGTTACTGTAATATTTTGTATTTTAATTGAACTATGATTCCTGAATTAATCATGCGGGACCACATAATTAACCAAAACTGTGCTTAAATTACTGACCAGCAAATTTAACCAGCAACATTACGTTGCCGCAAACAGTATTAATTTTAGACTAATTAAACCAGGAAATTTTAAAACTCTTTCTCATGCAGCCAATCCCTATTAGCATATATCACTCGCCCGGTGATATATGACTTTGCAAGTTCATATCTTCGCAGTGGCCTTATTGGGGTATATTCATATATTCGTGTTCTGCCCGACTAATTTCTTTGAAATGAACTTGAAAACAAAGAAATTCCAAAGATATTCGTTGGGCAGAATACGAATATATGAATATACACCCCTCCCCCAATTAACGCTCAAGTTACGTCTCTGTATCTTAGGTTTGGTGCATGCTATAGACTATGAAAACAAAAAATACTACCGTTAGATTTAGTGAAACAATATTCCAATTCCTAACGTAGTTTAAATAGTAGACTTAAATTTTGGATGCAACCAAATGCTATTTGCGAAATTGCTTTTCTTCTTTATAGAATACATTTCAGACCATTCTGGCAACCGATGGCATCAACTCGTTTTCAATATTTTACTACAATAAAATCGAGTGGACTTTTGGCACTTTGAGCAAGGGCGTTCCTGCCCAGGTATAAATGTTAAATTTTTTATTTACCAGCTGGGAGGACAGCACAAGAAAAAATAGTTTCCGGTTGTGCGAAAGGCGTATATATAAGTTGCACGGATCGGATCCAGTGAATAAGGCCTATCCATTGGATAGTTTTCTGCCAGGTCAATGCGCTGTACGAAGCACGGGTAGCAGAGTTGATAGCTACAGTATATCCGTTGGATAACCTTAGTTTTAACGGGGAAACCAGATTTTCTAGCAATTTCTTATTTGTACGTTGCAAGGCACTTGTAAGAACTTTTGTTGTGGTATCTCTGAATAACTTGTGAACTCCACCAAACTTTTGTTCATGTTTATATGAGTTTTGACGTTTCTCGCCCATTTGTTGCATCATTTTGCCAAAGCAAAAAGTTTCGTGTATTCACTTACTATCGAAATCGCTAGAGTATGGCAAATTAATCCCTCGAGGTTTGCACGCGCAAAATTGATTTTATGTGCCACGTGATGAACTTTTTGAACACATCATGACCGTGTTCGTAAACAATCTTCGACATTCTAGTCGAAGTTTTAGTGGAATTGGTGCTTAAATTATTGAGAAAATGATTTTTAGAGCTCTTTAATAGCAATACTTTTGACTATGTTTCAAGATTAAGTGGAGGTAGAGTCTACTGTACAACATTCTTGAACTGACACAAAATACGCGAATATTCAGGTTGTTTGGCTATTTATAAACTACAATAAAACATTCAGTGCGGTTAATATAGACAAGCACATTGAGGTGTATGATTTGTAGTAACTCGCCTCGTCCTCACACTGAAGCCCTGGGAACGAGGTTGGTAACTACTTTTTCTTTTTTCTAGTTCTAAAACATGCTTGGGCGTGTATAGTTCATTTCATGGCAAAACCCCTTTAGGGGTTAGGTTTTAGGTTTTAGGGGTTAGGGGTTAGGTTCTAGGGGTTAGGGGTTAGAGGTTAGGGTCGGGTTGGGGGTTGGGGTTAGGATGCTCAAGTATATACCTAGCATGGGTACTACCCGCATTCTAAAATTTAGAATACCGGCTACGTACCCATTTAGAAATAGCGAAACGGCTGAATAATATGCTAATAATAATAATTTACGTGGTGTTTCCACAAACAAAATTATTATATTTTATCGCCATCACGCCATGCAAACATACAAAGAACTTATTAATGAAAATATTATTTAAACAATATTCTCTGACAATCCCTGCCAAACATCGCAGATTATTACGAACACCGTTGAAAGTTTCGAAGCGGTCACGAGGTGTTAAAAAAGTTCATCACGTGGTACATAAAATCAATCCCGCGCGTGCAGATCTCGAGGGTTAATTCACTACTTTAGCGATTTCGATAGTATCATTATTTCTTATTTTTGGCGAAAGCAATATTATATAGCCAAGACTGTGAGTTTTTGTTATCTTGTTTCAGTACCTTAATTCCGTTTTTCTTTGATCTTGCACGAATATTTGTTCCTTAACCTTGCACTCTATATTCAAAACAATTTTAAGAACATTTTCTCCGAAGATTTGCTAGACGGATAAAAAAATTAAGGTTACAGGACATCCTTTTTGGCGTTCTGCGGAAAATCGCTACTGCGCGCTCAATATTTTCACCAAATGTTCGCCCGTGCATGCAGAATATGATAAAGTTGTAAAATTAACAAACAATAAAATAATGTAAGAGGAAAATCTTAAGTCCCGGTACCTTTACGCTTTTGAGTTATGCTCCTGCTGGTTTTAAGATATATTTATGGAAATATCTTTTTTATTCAGTAAATTAGATGTTCAAAAAAATCGTGTTCGAAAATTTTTGTTTATTTCGTCATTCCGCTGATATGGCGTTTTCTTTGACGACTGCTATATATTTCTGAATTGTTTGAGTGAAAAATATCCAAAATATCTAAATGAACATGCACGTATTTTCTAGTTCTAAATTTGTCTGCAAAATTTTTACCATACTTTCATAATTAGCCACGTAGTGACGTAGAGCATATATACCTGCTTCATGGCGCAATATTCTTATATCATGCGGGCAATAAAGGACAAGGTACTACGAATGATAGGCGTGTGAAAGATTAAGTATCTTTGTTTTTCCGCATAATTACAGAACGAGAAGGCTTCTTGCTTTTGTCCGGAGGTCAATAGTATACAAGAATATCCGGAGCTGAGCAAACAAATTAAATTGCGGGAAAAGCACTTTATATTATCTGGCATTAAAATAAGGATTTTTTACAAGGACACACTTTACGGCCACGCCAAGGCCAACGACCAATTGAAAATGTGGCAGACTAGATTGAGCACAAATACTCGTCAACTAAGAAGCGGTTTTATTGAATATTCGTTAAAGTTCAGTGCCTTTTAAAGGCAAACATTTGTTTCAAATAGGTAAAATGCGGGCCAATAACTTTTAACCTTCACCACAACTCGAACAATAACTACTAACTAGTTATATTTTAAGCCAATGCATATATATTTCAGTGCAGTATCCGTAAATATTTTATAAATTGGGGGTCACATGCAGAAACGCCAGTTTAGCACTTTTGGTATTCCAATGGTTGAGGTATAATCTAACAAATACGTAAATCATGCAATTTAAATGATTCATAATTAATTTTCAATTGTCTGGATGAAAATTCTTTTTGTAGCATATTTCTGATCTGTGGATATTGGCATTATCATGAAACCTATAGGAAAATAATTGAAGTCGTTGGTAATTTTAGAGGCGTTTTTTGACATGTAAAAAACAGAAAAACCAGAAATATATAGACCAGAAATATATATCTGGCAATGATCAAGCAATAAACACATGATTACTATAAACAGTATTGCTGTGGGAAATGGTTGGAAATAGATTTTCTGGGCTTTATGGGCCCAAGACAAAGTATACTGTCCCAAGTACAACTTTTCAATTTACAAGGACACATTTTCCTTTTACATGCAAGGACACAAAGTGTGTCAAAACACGCTTATTTTAATGCCTGCTTTATATAATAGATACCTGTACGGCAAGCTAGGCCGTCCGAAGTAAATCAATATTGGCGGGGGGTGGGGGGAGGGAGGGCTCAAGACTAAATCTGAATAAATCTGAGTTTTTCCGCACTTTTCTAGTTCTTTTATGTGTTTTTATTATACAAATGGAAATTATTGGGCGGGGGGGGGGACTGAAGGCCCCGCCCAGCTCCGACGGCCTTGATACACTGAAATACGTAATTTGACACAGCGGATCAAACCATCTTGCAAGAAAGTTTTTGAAGTGCGTTCGCGCGGTCTTTACAAAAACATTTTAACGTGTACGTGAAGTTAATCCCCAAGCCAACGGAGCGAAGCGCCATGCGAGGATACTAATTCCGCCCTGCTATTTACACCCTGGGAAACGAACGCATTCGCGAATAGCGAAGTCCAATGTTTATCAATGATCGCGAGCGTGGGTTACCAACAAAGTTTTGGTGGGTGGTTATCCTCACTGATCTCATAATGTAGCGGACTGTCATGAATAGCCAACACTGATTTGTCCAATATAAAATTTGCATTATAACGACTGCGTGACGACAGCGAAATAGCAAACATTTCTTGATTTGATCATTTCTTGCAAATATATTTCATTTTTTGGAAGATTTTGTAAATTTAAAAACTTTTTGATAACTAAATAAAGGCGAAAGAATTGCTTAAAGAAGGGAGTAACAGCGCCGACGTTAACGAAAGTAAGTTTGTTTTAAATATTGATTCATTGTTTGCTTTCAATAATGTACTGTTATTACTTTAAAAGCCAGTGATCGTTGCCAGGTTCCGTTTAAATATGAAACAAGACAGCATCTTATTTCAGTGTTTCTTTATTTATTACCCCATTTATTATAATAAGCAAAGTTATTTGCATGCGAGAATTTGGAATCATTTTATTTCGAGCTCAAAGTTTATCGATACAGGCAGTTTAGTTCTACATAATATACTATATTAAAAGAGCACTTTAAAACGTTTTGCGAAGTGTTTGTAATATGGTTGAATTTTACCTTAAATTGAAGCTTATATTACGTATTATAACATACCTAACATATATATATATATATATATATATATATATATATATATATATATATATATATATATATATATATATATATATATATATATATATGTACGATTTAAAGCACGCGTAGGAGTATTTTATCACATATAAAACACGACGCGTAGCGGAGTGTTTTATATGTGATAAAACACGACTACAAGTGCTTTAAATGGCTTAAAAAAGGACTCATCTTATACGAGTTCATTGGCGAAGTAATTTTTAAAATAACCTTTGTCTAAACCGAGAAAATCAAAGCTAAAGTTTATGTAAATTAACATGATTTTATATGATTTTGATTTTATATCACATATAAAACCACGACAGACTTATGATTTTTCTTTGTGTTTTGCTCCTGAATTATTAATGAGTTTTTTAAATATATATATATATATATATATATATATATATATATATATATATATATATATATATATATATATATATATATTATACACTATATATATATTATACACTATATATATATATATACTATATATATATATATATATATATATATATATATATATATATATATATATATATATATATATATATATATATATATATATATATATGTTTGGGAAATTGGTAATTTTGTAATTAAAAGTGATATTTTTAAGGGGATTATTCATTTGTAAAAATATTCTCAAAAATTTGTCGTATAAAATGGTTTTGTTAGCAAGACGAGGGTTTCTGCATGCATGTATTTTCTAGTACTATATTAAATGAGATACAAATTAACAAAAACAGCTGGGAACAAAGGTTTGCGCCGACTACAGAAGGCTATTAGTAAAGCGCGGAGCACACGGAGCACGGAGCACACGGAGCACGGAGCACACGAAGTACGGAGCAGTAAAAAAACGAAAATCCTTTATAATAAAATACACTGTTTACTATTACAAATTTTTGTTATTATTAATAAAGATTT